TTAATCACCATACATGACATCATTAGTTTTTGATGTAGTGTTCCATGATTCATTGTTTGTGCATAACACCCAGTGCTCCACACAGAACGTGCCCTCTTTAATACCCATCACCAGGCTAACCCATCTCTCACCCCCCTCCCCTCTAGAACGCTCAGTTTGTTTTTCGGAGTCCGTCGTCTCTCATGGTTCGTCTCCCCCTCCGACTTACTCCCCTTCATTCTTCCCCTCCTATCTTCTTCTTCTTTTTTTTCTTAACATATATTGCATTATTTGTTTCAGAAGTACAGATCTGTGATTCAACAGTCAGACTTATTCTTAATTAGTCAAGACCATTTAAGACTTGGAGTGGAATCATCAAAAGCCAAATTGTCTTTTTCAGCTGATTTTTATGTACTCTTCTTATGCAAATGATGTTAAAATATAACAGTCAAAAATAAATTCTAATGCACTATCTCAGAAATATACAAATAATAGGAAAAAATTAGCTAACAGGAACAGAAAATAATAGGACTCCAAGAGATTTTACAGTGCTTTTAGACCCATGTGGAGCCTGTTTGGAGAGTTATAATGGCGGGCGGGAGGGGGCTGCTAAATGAACCGGGTTCCTACAGTGAACCCAGGACTGCTCAGGAGCCTGAGACGCAAGAATGCTGAGTAGAGAGCGGGAGGTCTCCTGGACAGACTTTGAACTGTGAAGCTCTCATGGACATAGATGTCCTTAGCAAAGCGCTACAACTAGGGCTGCCAAATTTAGCAAATAAAAATACAAAACACCCAAATATTGCGGGAAGCATACTGACACTAAAAAATTATTTGTTGTTGGTCTGCAATTGAAATTTAACTGGACAGCTAATATTTTATCTGGCAAACCAAGCTGCAACCCAAATGACATTAATATCTTTGAACCTGATATTAGTGGCTCTAGAGTATTTTGGAGAAAAAATTAGCATGGGCTTTCTGACTATAAACAACCAGAAGACTGGTGGTAGATTGCCATCTAGTGGAAATTTTGTGATAGTGACGGCTTAAATTGGAAGGATAGGCTTTTTCCTGGAGTCTTCAAGGAAGGATTGTGCTCTGGCCCAGTGCAAAGCCCTGAGGTTGCTGCGCGGCGGCGGGGGGCGGGGGGGGGGGCGGAATGATGATGTCAGGAGGACAAGGGTGCCATGGGGGGAGGCGAGGTAGGAGGAATGCTGAGATTCGGCCGGCCCCTTGATCTAAGGAGAGGAGAACCTGACCTTGGCTCTCCAGAATGCACACTTTCTCCTGCATTCCAGCCAAAACCAAAACAAAAGCCAGGGCTAACTGTAAGAGGCACCATATCCTTCCAGATGAGGATGGCTCAGACGGATGTGGAACTATGAAAAATATGTTTCTACAGATGTGATCACAATTATAATGAACGAAAGAAGTCCTGCAAAAGGTAACGGAGTGGCTACAAGTTCAGATTTTAAAAGGACTGAAAAGACGTAAATATTAAAAGGCAGACATTCTGGAATTCCAAGGATAATCTCTCTAAGTGTGAAGCCCAGAAGCAGTTCCATGCTGCAAAACATGCGAAAGTCCACTACTAACAATAACATTAGCCATGATGACAATAAACCAAACTGGGAACAGGAGGAACAGGGAGAGGACAAACATACTCCTTGAGGCAGATGTTATAACGTCAACATGTAATGCAGAGAAAGCAGAAGCACTTGACTCTTATTGTAGCTGGTCTTCTCCAGAAAGAATGATATTCTAGAAATTTAAAAACTTGGACCAAAAACATAAGACGATCTTAAAACCCAAACACAGTCTTCTAGCCGATTTAAATAATTCTAGATTTTTTTTCTGGAGTAGAACAGGAGAGGATCTCAAGGATTTAATAGAGGCAATTATCCTAATTTTTAAAGGCATGATTTGTAGAAGCCAAAGAAGAATAAATTTAATGTGTAATTGTCATAAATTTCTAGAAGAGACTATTGAAAGATGTTAGATAAAAAATAATCGTGAAAGACAATCAGTGTCTCCTAAGATAAGCCATGCCAAACTAATCTTATTTACTATGTTGTTAGGTTTACAAGAATATCAAATCATTAGAGTGCTATGAAGAGAATATGTTTTGATTTTAGTGAGCCATACAGCACAGTTTTTTCCCAAAATGTGTTTTCAAAATCCTGGAGATAACAGAGGATGGCCCTGGATGATAGTATAGTTGAGGATTTTTAGCCAGTTTAACTTTCAGCCCAAAAATGTGCTCATTAAGGGAGTATTTTCAAGAAGGGATGTCAAAATGTTCTGTAATTACTTGTTTACTAATGACGATTATTAAATCGAGAAAACATACTGATCAAATTTGCAGAGAGCAAAATTGCAAACAAGGTATAGCAGGATTCCAAATCATCTTAACAAACTCAATAATGGGTTACAATTAACCAAATGAGACTGAACAATGTATATTTTTGTCTATTTAGATTCAAAAATATCAATTCTCCAAATACAAAGTAAGAGAGAATGATTTTAAAACAGTTTCTATTAAAATGACGTAGGGGTCATAGCTGACAATAAGTTTGGGACCAAGAATGGGGACCTTGGGGACCAAGTGGCTGGGGGGAAAAAAATCCAATTCCTCTCCAGACAACAATAGAAAAGAGTGTCCTTTCTGAGGGAGGGGACAGTCACACTGTACAATGCAGTGGGCCAGACTGCATTAAAGTCAGGTTCAGTTCTGGCACCCTCTTAAAAGGAATATCCATAAGGTCCTCTTCATCTGAAGAGAAGCATGCAAGCTGGTAAGGAGCCTAGAGAGCAAGCCACGGGAGGGCAAGGCTTAGAGGGATGACACACGGTCCTCATATTTTTCGATAGATTTATTCTTTGTAAGCACATGGAAAGCAAAACTCAGATCAATTAAACAACAGTGACTTCTTCCTAGCAGAAGAACAGAACTCAATAATAATTAGAGCTTTCAGAAATTCTGTGGCCGCTTGTGTAGGCGAGTTAGCCCGCCACCTCTGTCACCTGCAACTGGAAAATCAAGACTCAGTGATCATCTGTGGTGGCATAGAGGAGACTCCAGGGTTTGTCAGGAGGTTGGACTTGTCAGCTTGTCAGTTTTTTTCTTCTAGGATTCTACACTTCTAATAACTTTTCACCATTTTCTCTGGTCTATCATTTCTTAGTTCTCATTTTATTTTTAGTCCGCCATTAGAATATGTAACACTTTTTAGCCAAGTGTTGCAGGTAGGCATAGACTTTTTTTTTTTTAAAGATCTATTTGAGAGAGAGAGAGAGAGAGAGAGAGAGAGAGCGAGCGCACCAGCAGAGGGGAGGGGCAGAGGGAGAGGGAGAAGCAGGCTCCCAATAGGGAGCCTGACACAGGGCTCGATCCCAGGGTCCTGGGATCATGACCTGGGCTGAAGGCAGATGCTTAACCGACTGAGCCACCCAGGCGCCCCAGGCATAGATCTTGAAGTCCATTTCCCTCCAGTTCTTGGCTTTAGATGTCAACACTGTTGCATTTGTTCCATACTCCCTTGCTTCTAATCTGAGTGGCAGGAGCCTGAACCAATTAAGAGCTGGTGGGGAAAATACCCAGCCACCCACAGGGCTTGGAAAGCAACAGAACATTGTGGTGGCTTTTGGAAAGAGCGGAACAGTAGCATGTGATTGACCGGTGAGAACCCTCCATCTTTCCCCCTTAATGTCTGCTTTTAGGCTGCTCATGCCATGACCTTATGGGACAGAATGTTAAAAGAAATTTGTGAAATGTATACTTTAAAAGACCCAGATATGTGTAACACAAGTCCTTTCATATTTCAATGTACACATTCTAATCCCTAAATTAAGGCTGTTGTTGCCTGTTGCAATCCTCGAGTGGCAGGAAGCGATAACCACTAGGACAGCAGAGCAGAGCTACCATTGTCCATAAAACCCTAGAGATGCACACATAGGTGTTCTTGTGTACCCAAGAAGTTTCTTCTCCATTTCCAAATATTTTGCCGAAATTTTTAGTTCTTATGAGTCATGACTCTAGAACTATTATGACGAACATAAGTTAACAACTACTTAATACAAGTATTTTGGGGGGAAAAAAGTGTTTTTCCATAATCATAGCATTTGGAGGTCCAGAATGGTACAGACATACACACTCACCAAATGCAGTGATGTAGTTTGAATCAATGGCCCTGAAATCCTAGCTATTTGGGCACTGTAGGGCCATCAGATGTGGGGTGCTAAATATTATACACACACACACACACATACATGAACCTTCTCTTCTTGGTGCTCCCACTCCTCATTCCTACACCTCTCCGCCCCCCCCTAAAAAAAAACCCAGAGCTTTAGAAGAATGAGTTGTGGTTCACAATGCTAAAGACTTGACCTAAAATATCCCTGAGTGTCTCTTGTCATCCTATCCCTCCAGGGAATTCCAGAGAGAGGTCCAGGCTCCGATTTGCTCAGGCTCAGTCCTGAGTTTGGAAATAGAACATGATTTAATGCCAGGACCAGAGACAAGGCCCAAGATGCCTGATGTCTCCCCCAGCAGGAGAGATGGGCCCATGGAGGATGCCAGGCTCCACGAGATCATGCCAGAAGGAGAACTTGCCCGGGAGAGCTAGCACTGCATCCAACAACCGGTCAGCTGGGTGGAAGGCAGTGAAAGAAATGCAGCTTTTAATTAGTGAGTGGGGAGACACATAATTACTGAGAGAAACCCAAGAGTAAACTCGTTTACTGCTTACAACAGACACTGGCTCATTTGTCTGGCAAGGAAAGGAAACATAAACTTACAAAGAATTCAGAAGTCATAGGGACCATTCTTTCTCTCAGGGCTGCCATACAGGGGTGTGGAGGAAAGGGTGGGGCCGGCCCTCATCCTTCTCAAATCAGGTCCGGCAAGGTGAGCCCACAGCGGGGGGGAACGTCTGACTTCCACCCCAGTCAATAGAGTCCACAGTCCTTCCTAACACTGCTGTCTCCTCTCCCACCCACCCTTCCACTCCTTGGCACCACGACTAGGGGCCACAGCTGTTCTTGTCTTCCTCTCGGACCTCCTGGGGCACTGAGGGCTCCTCCACAGAGGTGGCAGGCTGCTCCTCTTGGGCCCTGCCAAGGAAGGGCCCCGTTCCTGGTCTGGCTGCTTCGGGCAGCTGGGTGGCACCTGGTGAAGGCTGCCTGCTCACAGCCGGAGCGTAGGGGGCTGGAAACAGATCCGGGAAGAAGCCATCACCTCCGGGGGGCTGCCCCAGGGCTTGTGGACAGAAGGGACCAGAGAAAGGCAGTTCTGGCAAGCAGAGGTCATTCCAAGGGGCCGGACCTGTGGAGTCAAAGAGTGCAGGAAAGATGAGACAGGATTAAGGGTACCCACCAGAGCTGAACATACTCTGTGACAGACTCCCCGCCGCCTCCCACAGAAACACAGCTTAGGAACCCAGTGCGGGTGAAGTACTAGCACCAGGAGCTCCCCCACAGGACCGGGTGTGCTCCTGACTCGAGGTTCTGTGGTTTGGTAGCATCGACACAGAGGGGCCTGTGGGTCAGGCCAGTGCCCCCTCTCGTGGGCAGCAGGGAGACTCGGAATGGACGGTACACATCTTTCCTTGCTTCTAATGGAATTTAATCTTACTGTGATGGTTGCGCCCAGATTTCAGAGGTCCGGGTGGCCTGTCAGAATGCTCAGGTCAGCTGCCATTTACTCTGTGTATTTCCCTCATACTGTTTCTCCCTATTTTTTCTAACCCTCAGCAAGTCCCTCCCTGCTAGAGGAATACTATTCCCATTTTAGAGTCCGGGGAAACTGAGACTCAGCAAAGCTGGGAGCGGCTGGGCTGGACTTAAAACTCCAGTTTTTGTAACTCTGCTCTGCAGCTCCCCAAAGAGACCCAAAGAGCTTCGTAAAGCCAACCAGGGCCACGGAGAGGGGATGCGCTCACCGCCTGCCATTCAGCCAGGGAGGCTCCCTGCCCCTTCTCACCTTCCTGGGTCACAATGGGCACCTTCTTGTCCAGCCCCAACTCACCCACGTTCCCAGCAGGTGGCTGCAGCACCATCTGCCCTGATGGGGGGCCGGAGAAGTAGCCCTGAGAGGGACCCGCACTGGGGCCGTAAGGTGATGTGAAGAGGGAGTCATCCGGCAGCGGAGGCATCAGGGAGTGGGGTGTGGGGAAGGGGAAGGCGTGCAGGTAGGAAAACTGGGGCTGAGGTGGTTGGTAAAGCTGGCTCTGCGGAGCCTGGGAGAATGGGAATGGCCCTGGCTGGGGGCTCTGCTGGTAATCCTGGGGTTCCAGTTCTTCCAGGTATGAACAGGTGGATGGTGGGGTGACACTGTGGGGGACAAAGGAGTATTTTGTGAGGCTCAGGGGTAGCTTCCTCCCTGTGACCACACAGTAGGTGAGTCCCTACCCATATCTCCATGACCCCAGACTTGCCTCTTCGCCTTCTTTCTCTTTCTGTTCCTGGCTTCTCACCTTCTTTCCTACTTTTTTGCTGGGATAGTCTAGACCTTTCCCACCTCAAATCTACGTAAACTTTTAATCCTCATCACAATTAGGACTCCTTGCTTCTCTCAGCTAACCCCCCCACCACCCCGCTAGATCTATCTTTTCTCCTTCTACACCCTCCCAAGATAACTCAGGTGACCACCCCATCAGGCTCCATACCTTGTCCCCCAGGACCCACAGGGGCCATCTTTGTGACTGTTGTCACTGACAGGAGTATCCAGCAGCAGAGGCATCGTTTGGGGGGTAAGGACAGGGCCCAGGGGAAAAGGAAGGTCGACTCTTCGAACAGGTGGGGGGCTGAAGAGTGGCGGGGTCACTGCCACCCTTTGAGTATTCTCACTCTGTTCGGTTGGGGCCAGAGTCTGGTCAGAGGTCAGCAGCATGGGGGGCTCTAGGAACCAAAGTCAAAGAGGCTTACAAAGCTAAGAAAATGGGGAGGCAGATTTGGGATTATGGATGGTTAGAAGTGTGCCATGCCCAGTTCCCCTTGAATAGGCCCCACTGGACCAAAACCCTAGAGATCACTGGCCCACCTTCCCATCTATCTAGAAAGGACTCTGTCTTTCCAGCTGCCATTCCCCCCCCCCCCCCCCCCCCCCCCCCACACATAACCCTCAGAAGATGGTCAGCTTACCTGTAAGAGTATCTAGAGGGGGCTCCTGAGGGAAGGTGCCAGGCTCTGGGGCCAGGGACACAGAAGGTGGCAGCTCAGTTGCCGAGCTGGAGGCAGGCAGAGTGAAGACTGTAGCCCTAGTGTCCCTAGATTTAGACCAGGGCTTCAGTGCAGGGAAAGGGACACCAGAGTCCCAAACACTGCCTTCCTGCAAGACCCTGGCAACTTCCCGACCTCCTCCATCCAAAGTCTAAGTATCAGCCAAGAATTCCAGCCCTCATGGCCAACTTTCCAACACTCTCTCCTTCTAGATCCTAGGAGCCCAGCTTAGAGCCCACCTCCTACTTATGGGGATGAGATCCAGGAGGAGAAGTTCTACCTGCACTGACTGCTGGCAGGGGTAGGGGCAGGGCCTGCAGGACTGCCCTTGTTCTCCTTCCCATTCAGCTTCTCCACTTTTCGCCACTTTGCCCGGCGATTCTGGAACCACACCTGTAGGGGAGAGACCCTTGAAGAGTTCCAGAAGCTCGGCTGAGACTATGACTCAGGCTCTGATTGTTGCACAATGAGCTGGATGACTTTAGGAGGTCACTTTACCACTTGGTTTCTGACGCCTTTCTCTGCAAGAATAGTTTTATGACAAGATTCATCTAGATAGCTCTGAGGTATTTTCCTCTTCTAATCTGAGGCAGTAGCAACATGGAAATAGGCAGGAACACAGCCAGATCTAAGACCTAACCTCGGCCCCTAAAGGGAGATGCTGAGCACTTGCTGTGCTCAAGAGTTCCAGCTGGTGGTTTCTCCTCCACCCTGAGACCCGTTGGCCAACGCCCTTTACCATGATTCGTTGGGGAGTGACCCCCACCGTCTGGGCAATCTCCCGGCGCTTATCGCTGTCTGGGTAGTGGTCTTCTTGAAAGATCCTTTCTAGCTCCTCCAGCTGGTCTGGAAGGAGAAGAAACTTGCATGAGGACAAACAGTGATGTGGCAGCAGAGGAGAAAGACAGATGCCTTCCAGACAAGACCATTGTCCCCAACCCAAGGGTCTTCCCAGAGCCTTGCAACTAAGTTTCCCATTGGGCTGGAGCCTTCTCTTGCTCTCCTGGGCTTTGTGGCAGGGAACTGTGTGGTGTTTACTTTCCTGCTCTTTCTAACCTGGTCCCAACATTGCTTTCTGATGAGGCAACCCATTGAGGGTCACAGGGTGTGGCCCTGCCACAGGTCAAGAGAGGATTCAGGACAAGGGGATGTACAAATTACCCACACTGTAATCCCCTGGGGCTACTGTGTTCTCTGTTGAGCCCACATTTCCCAGAGATGACACCAGCTCTCCTAGATTGTCTCTCACCTTCAGGGACTCACCTGAGCGGTATAGGGTCCGAGTCTTTTTCCGAACTTGGCAGGTCACTTCCGGGGTCCTCTTCTGATCTGTGTTTTGGCTGTTCTGAGCCAATGTGCTGAGGAGGTTGGCCAGATGGCAGGGCCCCCGGCCTGACCCACAAGGCACTAGGTTGTGTGTGGCATGGGCCAAGTTAATGACACCAGGAGATGATGCGGAGGCCAGACCCCCGACACTGGGCATTTTCTGCTTACTGGAGGCTGGAGAGTAAGACCTCTTCCCTGGCTTTGCCTCTCTCACTGGGAAGGAACAGCCTTCCTCAGGAGGCTGGGGTCTAGGTGGGGCCATAACTGTGTCTCTGTGGAGAGTCCCAGAGCCAGATGGCTGGCTCCCCCTCCCAGTATCTGCCCCAGCTGCTTCTCCAGGGGCCTCTGATGGCGGCTTCTCCCCAGCGACCTGGCGGGAGGGGGGCAGTTCCTCACTTGGGGCATCCCGAGTGTGGGGGGCTGGACTCTGCAGCAGTTCCTCCTCTGGCCCAGCAGCCAGGGGCTTGCCTCCACCTTCCTGGCCTGTGGGGAACAGCACCCACTGACCTCAGCCCCAGGGAGAAGGAAGAGCCTGGCCTTAGAGGACTGCTGCTTCCTGCTCTGCCGCCAGTTTCCCGTTTGGCCTCAAGCTTTCATTTGTCCACTCGACAAAGAGGGTAATAATTCTGTTTACCGTTCTTAGAGCTTGGCCATTGTAACCATCGAATTAGATAATCCACTGCTTTGAAAAATGTGAGCAGATATATGCACCCATGAGGGGGCCTGAGCTCACATACATAGCTGGTAGGAGAGCAGTCCTAATTCCGGGGGTGGGGGGTGTGCTTACTTTCTGGGAGTTGTCTGGGTTTTTTCCCCCAGACTTACCCCCAGGAATGTGAGTCAAGGATCAGGAATCTGTTGAGGCATTTCTAAGGGACAAACGGTGAAGCTGGGAGTGCACTGGGAGAGAGAGATTGACAGTCTGCTGTTTCTAAGACTGGATCTTGTCCCTGCGCAGACAGAGGCATTATTGCTCAGAGCAGGGACGAAGACAGGCTGGCTGGTGGTATGAGGAAGGAGAGCGGGCGGGGGACACTTTGGGTTTCCAGCAATTTGGGCGAGCTTGTAGCCTAGTGAACCTGGCACGTAGTAGGTGCTCAATGACCGTGACATATCAGAGAGCTAGGCCTTGGTAGGAAAGGGGACGGGCGTCGGAACCCAGAGGAGAAGGGTCCTGGGGCTCCCCGGTCGGCGTGCAGGGAGGCGGGAACCTCAAGGATGGAGGGCGCACGGTGCCGGGCCTCCCTCACACCCCGCGGCACCGCCAGCCCCTCGGCCCACCCCGACCCCGAAGTCACCCGACGCGGGCCGCGTGGCCAGGGGCCGCCCCGCCGGCGTCAGCCTCCCAAGCCCGCCCCACGCTCACCCCGCGGTTCCGGGCAGCGCTCCTGGGTGGGTTCCATGGCCAGGGCTCACGCAGCCGCCGAGACCGGCGGGGCTGCCCTCGCGCGGCCTAATGAAGCCTCGCCGGCGGGCAGGTGTGCAGGGGCCTCCCGGGCCCTGGGGAGCCCGAGCCCGCGCCCCTCACCCCGCCGCCAGGGCGAGGCCCACCCGGGCGGGAAGCGCGTGGGGCAGCTGCAGGGCCGCGCGGGCCTGGGGGCCGCCCCGCCCCCTCGGGCCCAGGTGTGCGGCCCGCCGCCCCTCCCCTCAGCCGCAGCTCCCGGGAGCGGGGCCGCCCGGCCTCCCAGGGCTGGCGACAGTCGTGCCCCCCACCTCCGCCCCGGGGACCGGCCCTTCCGTGCTAGCGGGGGGGAAGGCCACTCTGGAGCAACGAATCAAGGGAGCCCCACACGTTGGGCTCGCTGAAGCTTCTCCAGGCCTCAAGCTGAAGGAGCCCCCAAGACGCCTCCCGACTCGAAGGTCCCGAGCGCCCAGAGCTGGCCGCGGGACAGGGCGAGCAGGCTGAAGGAGCCGGCGCCGCCAGGTAAGCTGCGCGAGGACGGGGCGCGCGGACGCGCGGGGAAGGGGCGCTCAGGGCCGCGGGGTACCCCGCCAGGAGCCATAGCGGGCCCAGGGTGCCTGGGCATTCCTCTCCGTACTTGAGGTCCCAGTTTGATTCTCTGAGAACGCCTGGGAGCCTCCTAAGGGAGCTCTCACAGGGGTGATGTTTGTCATTCCTGGTTCATAGCACGTTTCTTGCCTTTAAACAAAGTCTTACAGAATTTAAAATTCTCATTGCCGCCTCCTTAGGTCCGTGTCTGACTCTGAGTGGAAAGCACGGGCCAGACTGAAACAGGTGCTGGGAGCTGGGGGTGGGGTGGGGTGGGGTGGGGTGGGGTGGGGTGGGGTGGGGTGGGGATGGGGGGGCGCGTCCGGAACAGAATCCAGGTGTTTTGCTTTTAAGACTTAAAAGAGTCTGGACAGCAGGTGCTTTCCTGCTGTAATCACCTATCTTCGTTTTCTTGTGCCTCCATTCCTTTGAGGACTTGGGAGAGCTGTCAGAGATTTAGTTCTGTTTGAAACATAAAAAGATAAACGAGTTAACTTCATGACAGTGTGATCAGAACTTCAGGAATCTGATGTTTCAATCCGCCCCCTATAAGACTAATATCCTCTGATAAATGAGAGGTTTAGAAAGAGGGCCCAGTTTCTCAGCTGGAAATGAAACACTGGGGGCCTTGTGAGCAGGGCATCGGGGGCAGTGAGGTTGCTCTCTGCCAGGACCCTCAGATGGTGATATGGTTGTAAATGGAACACAATAATTGGCTTGATTAAACATTCATAGGACACCTACTGTATGCCAGGCCCTGTGCACAAGTCAATTCCTTGCCTGCAGAAGCTTACTGGTGTAGAGGGGACTAGAATAATTCTATAGGCAAATGGACTATGTCAATACAGGGTGGCCAGCGGTGAGTTAGGAGTATGCACAGGCTCTTAGGAGCCCAGAGGAACAGGAATCTCTCCTGGCCTAGGATTGAGGGAGCGGGAAAGATGAGGATGACACATGAGCTATGAGCTAAAGATTAAAAGAGGAGGCAAGTTAAATGTAAAGCTGACCTTGCCCCAGCCCTGCTTAAAACCCTGCAGTGGCCCCTGCCTGCCCAGGAGGGAAAGACCAAGCTCCCTAACAGGGCAGGAGCCTTCCAAATCCTGGCCCCTTCTCTCCACCTCAGCTCACCTGCTTCCCATGCCCAAAGTTCTCCAGTCTTACTCTGTTTTGACCTCTTGTTTCTCAAAGAGTGTTCCCACCTTTCCCCTAGGTCAGAATTTCTTAGGGAATTTGTGCAAAATATGGCTCCCAGGCCCCATTCCCAGAAATTTAAATTGGTAGGTCTAGAGACGGACTCAGAAATAGCCATTGTAACAAGCCCCTCAGGTGATTTTTATTCATGTTAGAGTTTGAGACACTCCTAGACCTTTCAAAAAACAAAGTCAATTAAAATCATCCTGGGGACGAGCATGGGGGACGTGGTGGGGGGAGGTTGTGTGGGGGGGGGAATGACCTTTTCACCTTCACTGAGGCGTCTACTGCAAGGAGAAGCCAGCACACTTAATTAATTGATTCAAGATCTAATTGTATAAAAGCATCTGCTCTGCATTTTAGGGAATTGGAGATGTTGGCATTTTTCTAAACACATAAATAGTTGAATTTGTTGGGCTTGGACTATGACATTAGAAAAATTTAAGTTTCCTTTCTTTGTTGCTATTCTCGGCTGGCCATTGTGTGGCTTTTTTTTTTTTCCCCCCCAAATGACATACTGTTTGTCTATTTACATGAAAATTTGATTTCACTGCTTTGCGTGAATTTGGCCTCTTGAGGCTTAGAAGAACATCTTGAGGTGTTTCCTTGGGAGGGGGTTGTATTGATGATACGGGCTGTTAAAAGTCCTCCCTCATAGGTCAGCTGCAAGGGCAGGGGGTAGGGGAGGAGGACCACTCTTTATAGGGAGGGCGAGAACGTTGTTTTAGGAGTGCTTGGGAATAACTCTTTCTAAGTCTGGTTTAGTTAGATTTCATCTTGGTGATGTTCAGACAAGTTCATTTGCTCAACCTTGCTTAGAAGGAAGGGTTTATTTTTAGTTTGGGGATTCTTAGTTTTCAGAGTCAAATTATAAACCACCACCACCACCCTCTTACCAAGAATCCTTTGTTCCAACATCCTTTTCTTCTCGTGAATAGGAGAATAACAGAAAAAAAAAAAAAACATGTCTGATGCTACTAAGCAATGTCATCAGGCATGTTCTCAGTCTGTGTGGAACTGACTGGACCATTAGGTTAGGCAAGTGGAATAAGCATTCTTTGTCTTTCTTCTCTTACTACGTATGGTGAAAAAAATAACCAGAAGGTGGCTGGTTGAGAAACACGTCAAAGCAGAAGCAGGGTAATTTGCTCGTCCTACCTGCCACACCCAGGCATAGGCGGCAACAGGTCATTGGAAGGCCTGGGACCAGAGAGGCAAGAATATGGTTGTGAAAGACAGAAATCTGAGCAGGCCCTGGGCAGGGAGAGAACAGAGTCACAGCACACGGGGCGGTGAGGACCCTGAAACAACCAGGGGGAGAGGCACCTGTCCAAGGCCGGGGAGGGCAGCTGGAGTCAGTCTCAGGTTCAAGAACCAGGACACCTGAAGAGGACAGAGGGCCAGATGATCAGATAAACACTGTGGGCCCCTGACGACCGAACTGATGGTGCCCAGTGGCTTCCTTTGGAAATCCCGGGAGAGGACAGTTGGAGCTTGCTGGTTTGGGGCATTGAGAACACCTGGCTAAGGTGGGAATCTGCCCTGGCAAGGAGAACACAGGTTCTGGTGTGGGTTAGCCTAATAACCTTTAATCCCTATGCCCCAAACACTGAAGATTTCGTACTTCTACCAAGAATAGTGACCATGCTCAAGACATGGGGTTGCCGCTGCTATTGTTTTGAATCAGGCTGCAGTAATAACCACATTGCTGTGTTTTATGATTTAGGAAGTACTTTCCCATCTGCTCTGATGGTCTCCTCCCGGTGTTCTGGAGCATTGGAACAATTTCTGCTCTATGCTAGTCTACTCCAGGATTGCAGAGTTCTAGTGGTAATTACTGCATGGCATTCAGGATGCCTCAGAACCTGGCCCCAACCTTCCCTCGGACTCCGTCCGAAGCCACTTCCCCTGCCCGCCCCTCCAGTCTCCTCACAGGCTCTTGTTCAAACCTTGTCCTCTCTCAGAATGGCTCTTGCCTTCTCCTGCCTCAGGGCCACGGGTCATGTCGTTTTACGGGCACGAAACACCATCCCTTCCCTTTTATTTCTGTCAAAGTCTTACTCATACTTCAAAGCCCAACCCAAATATTCTCTTTTCTGTGAAGCCTACCTCAGCTTTCCACGCTGCGATGAGCAGCTCCCTCCCACGTCCTCCTACTGCGCTGGGTTTGCCCTGATGTTCCCGCACTCAACACAGGCTGACCTGATTAGAGTTTTGTATGTTCTCTGCTGGATTGTGAGTTCTTGAGTGTTAACATACATCTCTTCATGCCAGGCACTTTCTACTTTACAAATACCAACTCATTGAAATTTCTTATAATAACCCCAGGAGGTACTATTATTAGCCACATTTTGTGGAAGAAACTGTGGTGTAGAGCTTGGGTACTTTGCCAAGGTCACACAGCCAGTAAGTGGCACACCCAACATTTGAACCTAGTTAGTCTGGTTCCTACCTGTCCTCTTAACCACTAGACTATACAACTTATTTTGTTTCTGTCACGGTCCTTTAGTGCTTGGCACAATTTATATTTCTGTCACGGTCATTCAGTGCTTGGCGCAGTGATTTGCACGTGGGAGATCAATAATTGCTCGTTGACCAAAAGTTAATCACCACTGGCAGGAGTTAGGGAGTAGGAGAGGGAGGCTGAGAGGAAGCCCTGGCTATCTTCAAGGAGCCACAGTGATGGGAATGTTCTGAAGCTTGGCCAGTGACAGTCACGTGAACCTACACGTGAGATACAATTTCCCAGAACTGGGTATATACATATACACACACAGGTAAGTGTGTGTGAAACTGGGGACATCTGAGTAAGGTCTGTGGCTAGCACCAATGTCTGTCTCCTGGCGTGATTGTATATTATGGTGACGTACAAGGTTACTATTGGGGGGAATATGGGTGATGCGTGCATGGGATCTCCCTGTATCATTTCTTA